ATGGATGATGCGCCCGGACCCCCGCGCATCAGCAGCATCAGCAGACCCCCCCCCGGACATGGGTTTCGATGATGCGCACTTTGGGGGCGGGTCAAGGGCAACAAGGGTGGGGGTCGGAGGCACGCGTGAAAAACCTCATAAAAACACGGTATTTACGGTGATTTCAGCGTTTTTCAGCGTTTTTTACTGCCTTGGGGCCGCGGGCCAGGGCTGCTGATGCTCATGATGCTTCCGGTACCCCCCCCCAAACCTTGAAAAACGTGGTTTCGGCCTGGCGCGCGCCCCATGTGAAAAGCTAGGGTCGATGATGCGCGCCTGTGAGGGTTTAATGGGGTGCTGCGGGTGTTTTGTGGCCTCGGCTTTTCGTAAAAAATCATGGTTTTTACGTGGTTTCGTGCTTTTCGCACCACCGCGTGTTGCGTCCCCTTGGATGCCGTTTTGGAGGCCTCCCGAAAAGCCCCGCGCGAATATGAAGCAATTTTGGGCGGGGTCGGCGGCTCGGGCGCTCGCCCCTTAAAGCTAGCGCTTTAGTGCGACGCGGGCTCCGCCCTGGACCACGGGCGGCGCGGGGGCCGGATTTAAGAGCCTCCGGCTCAAGCCGCCGACCCCGCCGGAGCATCGTTTAAAGGCAGCTGCGCAGCGTGTTTTCGGGTTTAGGGGTCGAGGGTTTTTGGTTAGGAGGACCTTGGAAGGCTCGTCACCTCCAGTCTGCCCAAAGCCCGCCCAACGTTGTCAACCTGCTCAGCGCTTACCCGGGGCAGAAGGGGGGGGGGGACGGGGCGGACCCACTAGCATGCAGACTTGCAGGCAGTTTCGCTGCTTCGCCTCGAAGAAGGTCATGTCGTTGCTCGGACAAGCCCTTTCCGTATCAGGGCGCCCGAGCCTTGTCGGTCCACGAAACAAGCAGGCGTGCAAAGACCGACCGACAAGGTGCCCCAAAAACACACATAACACGCCAAACTATTCAACTCAGAAACCGACAGAGATTGCCTCACTTAGTGATCCTACCGTAAGGTGATGTTCATGTCCACAGATTTGAAGTCCCCAGCTGCAACTTGTTTTGTTTGGATCTAAGGTTTTTTCGGCTTTTGCGGCTTTAGAGTTTACCGGTTTGAGCATTTCAGGCTGTTGGCCTGCACGCTGCAAATATTAATAGGCTCTTTAAGGCCTGCCGGTCTGAGGGTTTCAAGTCAAAGGACTAGCACAGCAAACCGGAGGACTAAAGGCCGAGCCGCAGTAAACTTTTTGCTGCTGATGCTGAATAAACTTTTTGCTTGATCTTAATATATCCTAATAACTGTCGTTTTTGATCCGCCTGCCCCCACGAAATGCAGCCTCCAACGGGAGCGAAGGGCCCAGAAAGGGTTTTGGAGAAAAAAAAAGGGAGGAGAAGCCCATGGCACACCTATGGCAGAGCTGCGCTGCCAAAGCATGCCCCAAGGCGCTTCGTCTCGCTGGGAGGGCTCGAGGAAGTCCACCTCGAGAGGCAGTGTCGCTAAGAGTCGGTGAGGTCAGTCGAAAGAGTGGCAGAAGAGCAGCAGAAGAGCAGCAGAAGAGCAGCGGAAGAGCAGGGGAACAGAGAGCTCAGCTCCTTCATCAGCACAGACATGTGATCGAAAACATGAGACATACCACTCCATACCGCACAGTTCCGTGTTGTACACCATAGCTCAGCTCGGCGCCTCAAGTGTGCCGACATCCACCATGCCCTGAGAGCGGAAGACGGACACCACTCTCGGACACCGCCCTCTCTGTTGTTCCTGCTTGCTCCTGTTCTGCTCCTCTTCTTCCACCTTGCTATGCTTTAAACTCCGTCTGCGGCCTCGACGAAGTTGGGCTCCAGGCTCAGCACCAGCAACACCAGGTCCAGGTTGGCGCACAGCACCTGGGCTTGCGGAGTGCCTGCTCGCCGCCGGGCCAGCGTGGACTTCCGAGGGAGCCCCTGCAATGAAACCTCTCTCGCACCTCGAGCCTCGCATGCCTCGACTTCACTCCTCCCATTCTGACACAAAATCACAAGCCCTCGCGCTTGTCTTGCACCCCAGCACGTCCTCCACGAGAGCCTCCCAAGCTTGGACGGCATCACTTCAACACCGAGCAAAAAGCATCGAGTCGAGCTGTGATGAGCTGTGAGAAGTGACTCTTTAGGGTTTAGGGTTTAGGGTTTAGGGTTTAGGGTTTAGGGTTTAGGGTTTAGGGTTTAGGGTTTAGGGTTTAAAGTTTAGGGTTTAGGGTTTAGATTTGGGGTCATCAGAAACTTTGCGACTCAGGGAGCTCTGCAGGACTTTTGGGCCCTGCTTTAAGGAGCCGGTCCGCTCCTCGGCATCTCCAGCGGCCGTGAAGACGATGCCTCGGAACGCAAGGAGGCCACAACCCTTCACGACGTGCCTCTACACCCAAACATCTGGTTTAGGGTTTAGGGTTTTGGGGTTTAGGGTTTAGGGTTTGGGGTTTAGGGTTCAGGGTTCAGGGGGTTTGGGGAGGTGAAAACCTCCCTCTTTCCCTCCTTTCCCCCCCCCAAAACGATGGGGGGGGGGTAGGGGGGGTACCCCGGCAACTTTTCCATGGAGGGCCCACCTACCCCTCCCTACCCCCCTACCCCCCTCCCCCTCAACCCTTCCTCATACAAAGGCTCTGAAACGGCGAGCATGCACTCCAAGGCGCTCCGAGGCGCTCCGAGGCGCTCCGAGGTGCTCCGAGGTGCTCCGAGGCATCCGAGCTGCTCCAATGCATCCGAGCAACTCCTGCTCCGAGTGGGGGGCGCCCCATGGCTCCAAGCCACTTGCCACCCCATTGGGTCTGTCAGTTTTGCCAGGTCGGTCCCGTTTTGTTTTTTTGGTAAAACATGGCTTTTTGGAGCACGGAAGCGCAACCTGACAAACCTGACAGACCTGACAGCCTCTGTTCCCGCGGGCCCCCGAGCTGCGCCGATAGGGGACCAACATTGACACGCCCGAAAGTGCAGAATTCTGATGTAAGTGCAGACGTGGGACTGGAGATTATCCTTCCAAGAGAGAGAGCTGGTGCTGTGGGAGTACGTTGTCAAGCTGGCAGAGGATGGCCGGGTCTGGCCGCGGCGCCAGGAGGCGGAGCCGGAGGAGTTCGAGGCGGTGGGGGAGATGCGATCTGCGCTGGTGACGCTGGAGGAGGTGCGGGGTCGGAAGCTAGGCGCGGACGTCCTCGGATGCCCGCCTGGGGGTGCAGTGATCGTCTCCGTGTCGCACACATGGGAGTCGCAACAGCATCCGGACCCCTGGGGCTGGCAGCTGCGGAGCCTCCTGCGGCATCGGCTTCGAGGGCTCGAGAAGACTCCGTGAGGCTTCGGACATTGCGGTCTGGGCCTTCATCGACTTTATGTGCCTGGCCCAGTACAGGCGCAGCAAGGAGGAACAAGACTTCTTTCAGAGAGCCATGCTGTCGATGCATCTGCTATATGCGCATCACTTCATTCTGGGGGTGTATCGCTTGGAGGAGCTGAGAGCGAGAAGTCACAATCGGGTTTCATTCAGATTTACTGCGAGGCAACCGGCAAGCTGGAGGCACGGCCCTCCAGTGAGCTGGTCCTGAACAGCACGCCCTACTTCCAGCGGGGGTGGTGCGTTGCCGAAGTGCAGCGGATGTGCGCGAAAGACATGCTTTACGGCTTTTCACCGATGAGCCCTGCAGTTTTTCAGGATCGGGTGGCCCGAGGCGAACAAGGACTTGCAGATGGGCTGGCCTTGAAATTCACGCACCGCTCCGACATGAAGGCTGTGGTTGACTTGCAGGAGAAGGTTGCCAGGCAACGCACTAAACTTCTTGGCGTCGGACTGCCCCACCGAGAGCTTGTGATTCTGGCCGATGCTCTTCCGTACTTCGAGAATCTGCAAGACCTCCAGATACTTGGCCCGTCGGAAGGTTTGGGAGGTGGCGTCATAGAGCTGGCGCGTGCCCTCGAACGCCTTCATTCCGAGAGGCTGGTCGTGGTGGCCTTTCAAGGGAAGGGTATTGGGGATGCCGGTGCCGCCAGGATCAGAGATGCTGGCATAGCAGCTCTGGCCGCAGCAAGCTTCATGGCCCCACACGTAGAGTTCAGGTTCTTAGGACATGTTTCAGATCTGGCGACGAAGTCGCAACACAAGTGGGGCAAAGTAACTCACTCGGATGCCATTTGAAATCGTCCTTTGCGTTGGCACATCGTTTGTACGCCAGCCGCGTTTCACGGTAGGAAGAGAAAGGCATGGCCGTGATGGATGAATGAGAAGAGCTTTGCAGCGATGAGCTTACTGTTGGTTAGTAGGGATGGGGGAATGAGGTACCGTATAGAATCCCTTAAAGGGTATATAAAGCCCCCTAATTCCCTCATTCCCTCATTCCCTTCTAACCAACAGTAAGTGAATTGGCCAAGCGTTCACCTTGTTCGTTTCGCGGCTGCGGCGCGCCTGACTCGGATTGAGCAGCTGGACTCTACGGTTGAAGGCACGGACGGTCCGCGCTGAAGCCCGAACCCTTCCCCCGAAACCCTAAACCCTAAATCCTAAACCCTAAATCGCGCGGTCCTTGCAGCTTCTGGGGTTCTGGGCTCCCAGATCTAGAGGTGCCACGCAGTACCGCTCAGTGAGTATTCTTGCTGCAATACCTTGAAATGCGAATAGTTGTCGAATTGCCGGTGTCCTTGTTCTGGTGCTTCATGCTGCCATACTCGATCGCAATAAACAGTAATTGTAGTCAAAGTGGTGGACGCATGGCAAGAAGAACCCAAGTACCGACCGTCCGGAAGAGGAACAAGCAGACCTGGGAAGGCGAGTGCTGCGCTCACAGCTCTGCAGGATGGGCCAAAACGGCCGCGGCGTGGCACAGCATGAGCTGCTGAAGCCTCGTTGGTGCAGCAAGCAGAGAAGGCGGTGAAGGCTTTGAGAAAGCTCTTCTGAAGTTGCTTCGTCTGCGAGTCCAAAACCGTCGTGGTGGCAGGATTTCGAAGAGCCCAAAACCCAAAACCATACTCCCAAGCCCCCTTCGGAATGGCCCCCTTCCAAACAAAAGACAGCCACGCCCACTGCCCTGAGCGGCCACCGATACCCGTCACATCCCCCAAATCTGAGACAGCAGAAGTCGTGGGAGAGCGGTTTTCGCTCGCTTCAGTATTTGCGTTAGCCTCTAAAGTTGCCACCGGAGCGACTCACGAGGCTGCCCTGGTAGGTTGAATCTTGAACCCTAAACCTAAACCCTAAACCCTAAACCATAAACCCTAAGCCCTAAACCCTAAACCCTAAACTTTTAACCTTAAGCCGGTCAGAAAGGTGGAACCTGTTTCGAGCATTTTGGAAGAAGGTGTGCTTGATTCTGTGACTTGGCTTCAGCCATGTCTGATTTACACCCGAGCTGGTTGAGGCATTCAATTCCCCCCATGCTTCACGTGCATGTTCCGTAGAGCCTTTTGAACCCTAAACCCTAGAACCCTAAACCCTAAACCCTAAGCCCTAAACCCTAAACCCAGTGTAGCAAGCATACTCGCACCATCGGTCGTCCGCGTGCTATGGCACTGTGGGCCTTCCTCGTCGGCGCACATGCAGGTGAGGAGTGTTTGGTGCAATTGCAGGTCCACCAAAGTAGGGTTTAGGGTTTAGGGTTTAGGGTTTAGGGTTTAGGGTTTGGGGGCTTGGGTTTAAGGTCCGCAACCCCAAGTGACCTTGGGATTACCCCCAGCCCTAGGTGTGCTACTCGCCGCCTCGCCTGCTGGTTTCGTGGAGGACCCACAGATCTTTCTCCAGCAAAGGCGGGCAAACTCTTTGTGGGGTTTAGAGTGGGCTTGGTTTTTTGGACTCGAGATGCTTGCGCAACTCGAACCTCCCCGACGCACCCTAGCTGCTCTAGCTCTTAGGCTCTTTTCTTGCCATCGAAACAACTTGAAAGCATCACGAGGTAATGTTAAACATGAAACCCTAAACTTTGCCCTGAACCCCCGGCCTTGGGTCTACAGCAGTAGAGGGTCCTTGATCGTCTCATCCCGAAAAGGATCATGTGCTTGATTCTGGTTTAGGGTTTAGGGTTTTGGGGCCCTAAACCCTAAACCCCTAAACCCCTAAACCCCTAAACCCCTAAACCCCTAAACCCCTAAACCCCTAAACCCCTAAACCCCTAAACCCCTAAACCCCTAAACCCCTAAACCCCTAAACCCCTAAACCCCTAAACCCCTAATCCCCTAAACCCCTAAACCCCTACATCCCCTAAACCCCTTAAACCTCTTGAACCCCCAAGCTTCTAAACCCTAGACCCCAAACCCTAAAATTAAATCCTAAATCCTAACCCCTCAGCCCGTAAATCCCTAGACTTCTAAACCCTAACCCTAAACCCTAAACCCTAAACCCTAAACCCTTAAAACCCACACCATCCTCGCATGGAAGGCAAAAGGTCAGCAAGCTCGAGGCAGCGGCCGCCTGTACCAACACGCCATGGGACCCTGGCCTGGGTTTCGGGTTTAGGGTTTAGGGTTTGGGGTTTAGGGTTTAGGGTTTAGGGCTAAGGGTTTGGGGTTTGGGGTTTAGTAGGGCTTTTCCATGAACCTTAAACCACAAAGCTTAAACTTACTCTCCCAAGGTCATCCCTCGAAGCCCTTTACACCGACTTCTAAACCCTAAACCCTAAACCCTAAACCTTAAACCCTAAACCCTAAACCCTAAACCCTAAACCCTAAACCCTAAACCCTAAACCCTAAACCCTAAACCCTAAACCCTAAACCCTAAACCTTGAACCCGCAATCCTAAACCTCCGAAACTCACAGGTTTGCGAGAAGGGTTGAGTCGAGTGCACGAACATCAAGGTTTAGGGTTTAGGGTTTAGGGTTTAGGGTTTAGGGTTTAGGGTTTAGGGTTTAGCGTTTAGGGTTTCCCAGGTCGCAGCAGGAGTCGGTGTAAAGAGCTCATACTACGGATACTGGTGGGCGTATGAAGGGTTTCCTGACAAATCTTGGAGAGTGTATGTCCTTTTAGGGGTAAACCCAAGACCCTAAACCCTAAACCCTAACCCAAACCCTAAACCCTAAATCCTAAACCCTAAACCCTAAACCCGAAACCCTACCCTAAACCCTACTAGAAAGAAAAGACCATGCTTCGACATGACGCTGCATCCTCTTGCTGAGGCGGCTCCTGCCCCTTTAGGGTTTAGGGTTTGGGTTTAGGGTTCAGGGTTTAGGGTTTAGGGTTTAGGGTTTAGGGTTTAGGGTTTTTTAGGGTTTAGGGTTTAGGGTTTAGGGTTTAGGGTTTAGGGTTTAGGGTTTAGGGTTTAGGGTTTAGGGTTCCCTAAATCCACGTACCAGGCCCGTCACTGTAAGTGTTCTCTTTGATTGGTTTGTTTTCCTCTCTCCATCTCTGTCTTTCTTTCTTTCTTTCTTTCGTTCCTTCTTTCTTTCCTTCTCTCCTTCTTTCCAGTTTCATCCCTGGACCCTGAACCATAGCATCCAAACTTCCAAGCCGCTGCAGGATTGCAATTTGGCTGGCGGGGTTTCTCGCCTGGCGATGCTCCTGGCCGAATCGTTGCGTTTTTGGGTTTCTTGGGGGGTTTAAGGCCCGAGATTCGAAGACCACCCAGGTTTCGAGCCCAACCCAGCACCCCAGCCGGTGTAGGATTAGGGAAGGGTTCAGGGTTCAGGGTTTAGGGCCTAGGGTTTAGGGTTCAGGGTTTAGGGTTTAGAGTTTAGGCAACCGAAAACTCTAATCCGAAGCCCCCCCCCCCTCGCATACCTCTCTATGGCAAGGGCGCTCGCTCTGTGTTCTTTGTTTTTCGGGGGGTGCTCCGCTTCACGCCAGCGCACTCCTGTACCCGAGAAACCCTAAGCACGCCATGGCCTTCTGCGGCCAGGGCCCCAAACCTCCAAAAACCGCTAGACTTCTGAACCCTAAACCCTATAAACCTTAAACCCTAAACCCTAAACCCTAAACCCGAAAAACCAAACCCTAAAAGCCAAACCCTAAACCCTAAACCCTAAACCCTAAACCCTAAACTCTGAGCCAAAGGCAAATGATCAACGAGCGCAGCGATGGGGCGGCGTGGTCAGGATTGGATTCAGGTTTCGGGCTCCGACTCCAAACTCCCAGTTGGGGGCGGGGTTTAGGGTTTAGGGTTTAGGGTTTAGGGTTTAGGGTTTAGGGTTTAGGGTTAGGGTCTAGGGTTTCCCACAATGGGGTGCTGTACCCTTTGTGGGGTCCCTTTTTTAAGTTGCTTCTGTTGCATTCGGGGTTTGTAGCAGGGGTACCCCAGACTGCTCCTTGTGCATGGGCTTGAACCCTAAACCCTAAACCCTAAACCCTAAACCCTAAACCCTAAACCCTAAACCCTAAACCCTAAACCCTAAACCCTAAACCCTAAACCCTAAACCCTAAACCCCATTTCGGGAACTACGCAACTTTCAGAGCCTTTTTGGAGGGCTCGGGGACTTGGAGGCTTAGCGTCGGCAGGTGCTAGAAATGGCCCGAGGCTTCATTTCCAAAACCCGAAAGGCGCGAAATCCTAAACCCTAAAACCCTAAACCCCCAAACCCTAAAATTAAGTAGTAGACCCTAAGCCCTATACCCGACCGTGCCTGAACACTCTTTGGTTCGGAGTTCATCTTGGCACCCATCGCCCCTCAACCCCAGGCCCTAAACACAACCCGTCACCGCCCTTGTGCGAATCCGAAATGCTTTTCCTAGGCCACACCCTCAACCGTAGAGTACACTCTAAGCCCTACACCTTAAATCCTATATGCCCTAGACCCTGTTGAGCCCCAAGAGGCCCACACCCTGGACCCTAAACCCTAAAGCCTAAACCCTGAATCCTAAACCTAACCCTAAACCCTAAGCCCTAAACCCTAAACCCTAAACCCTAAACCCCAAACCCCAAACCCCAAACCCTAAACCCTAAACCCTAAACCCTAAACCCTAAACCCTAAACCCTAAACCCTAAACCTCCGGTCCAAGGATTGTGTTCGGAGCAGCATCCGATCGCTGGACCTCAACAGTGGCGCGTACTCGCGGCTCAGACTCTATCTATTTTGAGGGGGGGGGGGGGGCTTCTTGCCCCAATTCCTGAACCCTAAACCTTAAACTCGAAGCCCTAAACCCTAAACCTAAACGCTGAACCCTCAACCCGAAACCCTAAACCTCAAACCCCAAACCCTAAACCTTGTGGCTTCTCCCAGCCAAGGACACTTTGCACCTTCGAGGACGAATGCTTCAATGCCTGCGGCATTGACCCTGGGGACAGCATGATCTACTGTGAGGCCATCGGGTTCCGGGGTTTAGGGTCAATAAAACAAGGGTTTAGGGTTTAGGGTTTAGGGTTTAGGGTTTAGGGTTAAGGGTTTAGGGGTTTAGGGGTTTAGGGGTTTAGGGGTTTAAGGTTTAGGGTTTAGGCCTAAAACACCCAAGCCCCTTTTAGGGTGAGGGTTCCAGGGTCTAAGGAGTTTGAAGGGTTTGGGTTTTGGGTTTGGGTTTGAGCATCTTTGAGTATCTTTGGGCATCATGGTAGTTGAGGAGTCTAGGTTAGGGGTGTAGGTTAGGGTTTAGGGTGGGGGTGTATTGTTAAGGCTTGTCAAGTACTAAGTACTGTGGAGTCTAAGTCATGTAGTCGTTTTGCGATTGGGGGCTGGTAGGTTTTCGGATGTTTACGGTTCACGGGGTTGACGACATACGTGTTTGGGGTTTAAGGTTTGAAGTTTCTTGAGCGTTTAGGGTTCAGGGGCTGGGGCGGAGGGATATATACAAGGTCAAGGTTTGCGATGCTCCCTTATACTATCAGTCCTTAATAGGGATTCTGATAGGGGGTGCTAGAATCCCTATCAAGGAGCTGTTTGTATAAGGGAGAACATGTCGAGATTAAGGTTTCAAAGTGGTACGGCCTTAGGGTTTAGGGTTTAGGGTTTAGGGTTTAGGGTTCATGAAGGCGGGAGCTCTGTATAAGACTCCTCTGCCAGGTGGAGGGCACGCCGAGTCGTGGCCGGGCCGCGCTATGGGGCGTGGGTGTGCGCCTGTTTGGTTTTTAGTTGCTTTCTGTTTTGAGTGGCTGAGGCTTTGGGAGATATGGGGGTTTGCGAAATTAGGGGTACCTTATTGGGGGTCCTTATTATAAGGGAATCTTGGTGTTTGGGGATCTATATTGGGGGTCCCCTATTCTTGTAACAAAAACCCCAGATATGGCTCAATCTGTCCAGCATGGTGTTAGTTCCGGGTTGGGAGGACGGGGGCTTCCTGGTTGTTAAATGATTGGGCCGGGCCTTTAGCAGCTGAGAGGGGAAAAGTACCCTCAGGGTACTTAGACCCCCAACTTACAGCTGTACTGATAAGCCCCATGAGTGCCCCTAAGTAGGTGATAAGGTAGACTGTTGGTACAGATGACCCTCCAAGTGCTGGGGTTGTTGGTAAGGGACCAGACTTTCCGACGACTACTGGAAACTCTTACACACGCACTGTCCACGTGAGATTTCGGACTCTGCACCCTGCACCCTAAACCCCAAACCCTAAACTTACCCTAAACTTGGGATGTTCCCCCTTTTGCTCACCGTCCTTAACAGGGGTTAGTTATAGTACCCCCTATGAGAATTCCTCTTAAGGACGGTTAGTCTACGGGGGAACATCCCAACCTCACATCCTAAACCCTAAACTCTAAACCCTTTGAGGGCGCAACCTGCCAAATCCACCCCCAAAAAGGCTTGAAGTTAAGTTGCCGGGGGCTTTCACAGTGGGGCTGGGGGGTTTGGGGGGTTCAAGGGCCCTTCAGCCCCAGAAATATTGAGCCCTAAAGCAGGTCTAGAAACCCCGGAAGCCCGAACCCTAAACCCTAAACCCTGAACCCTAAACCCTAAACCCTAAACCCTAAACCTCAATAAGGTTCCCCTAATTTTCGACAACCCCGAGGTTACTTGACTCGACTGACCTGCCCTGGGGATGGCAGCGTCCCGGCATCGCCAAGGGATTCGATGGCTTTGATTTTGGGGTTTGGGGTTTTAGGGCTAGGGTTTAGGGTTTAGGGTTTAGGGTTTAGGGTTTAGGGTTTAGGGTTTAGGGTTTAGGGTTTAGGGTTTAGGGTTTAGGGTTTAGGGTTTAGGGTTTAGGGTTTTGCGAACGGTCTTGCGGAGGATCCTGAAGCATCAACTTGGGGATTTACAAGGGAGGAATTACGAATTTGGGATGCTACAAACATGGCTCGCCTGGCATAGGCACTTTAGGGTGAAAGGGACGGTTCAACATACTGTACAAACTCAGCCACTGAAAATCATGCTGCAAGAAGTCTGCGAAAGACTTAAGATATCAGAGGGGCGAACGCTAAACATCGTCATCTGTGTACGTACTCCAAACTGCAGAAAAGGTTGTGCAACTGTCAGCGGAAACTGGAGAGGTATGAAATAGCCGACATGGACAATCATTTGACGTAGAGCCGGTAATTGCTGGTACAATGGCTTTCTCTGAAGTTTCAGACACGGCATCTCACTTTCGTGCACCCACATTGTGTGACACACATTCGACATCTCACCATTAGGCAATTTGAAGGCAGGCTTCATCTTTGCAACATGTAGAGGCACCACCCAACCACCAAGGCCCTATACCCTAAACTCTAAACCCTAAACCCTAAACCCTAGTCCCAGGTGCCGGCCAGATCTGCTTCTTGGGCACCCTGTTCGACTCAGTCTCCGCGGGGTTCAATGACAACACGCGCGGCTTGCCGAAATTCCGGGCCTACCGGGTTTAGGGTTTAGGGTTTAGGGCTTACCGGTTTCAGGTTTAAGTCGAAGTCTTCAGGATTTGAGGATTTTGGGGCTCCACCCCTAAACCCTTGACCCTACACCTGAAGTGGCAAGGGTTTGAGGGTTTGGGGCTTCAGCTTTTGGGACTCCGGATTTAAGGGTTTGGGGTTTACAGAGTCGGGAGTCGGGGGTGCGTAGGGCTCACGGTCTGGAATTTGTAGGGTTTCGGCCTTGTGGCTTACTTCCCTGCTACTCGTCCTAAGCCCAACGCCCTTAGACAAGCTTAGGAACCCTGAGTCCTCCGCCTTACAAACCACACTTCGAACAGCAAGAATTTGTGGGTTTAGGGTTTGGGGTTAGCAGGCGGAGGGGGCTAAGGGGAAGCCTTTGGCGTCTAGGGCTTAAGCTTGAGGGGTTCAGGGTTTAGGGTTTAGGGTTTAGGGTTTAGGGTTTAGGGTTTAGGGTTTAGGGTTTAGGGTTTAGGGAGTTTGCCGGTACAGGGTTGAGAGAAGCAGCGCTGGAGAAGCTCAGCGGCTTGACGAAGCTTCTGGCGCTTGACTAAGTAGGTTGGGTTGCCGCTTCCAGGGTTTTACAGGGGGTTTAGGGTTTAGGGTTTAGGGTTTAGGGTTTAGGGTTTAGACAAGAGCTCCAGAAGGGTTTTGTGGCTTGGGGTTGCAGGCTTCTTGGGCTGACGGCTTCAGGGTCTTGGGGCCTAAACCCCTAAACCCTAAACCCTAACCCCTCAACCCCGAAACCCCTCAACCCTGAACCCTAAACTACGGGATTTGGGGTGTTGGGGTTGCGGTTTCGGGTTGAGGGTTTAGGGTTTGGGGTGTGCATGAGTGTATGCGCGCGCGCGCGGGCGGGGAGTGTGCGGGGAGTGCGCCTTTTTTTTAGATTAAGGGCCGTGCTCCCTGTCTTACCTCAGGAGCCCCCCACGCGAACTATTTTCTTTTCGGGCCCTGCAAGGGGGGCTTTCTTGGGATTTCTTGTGTGAGGTCTGAGAATTTGAAAAGCGTCTGCAGAGGGAAGCTGGGGGCCGAGGCCTTTGAGTGGTCCCCTGATTGAGAGACGCAAAGCACCGCTAGAGGCAAGGCGTCAGGGGGTCGACCCTAGACCCTAAAACCCTCAACCCTAAACCCTAAACCCTAAACCCTAAACCCCAAACCCTAAACCCTAAAACCTCAGCCAGCTGCCGAGGAGACTTTGTGTTCATCGCCCTGGTCGGCCTTTCAGAGGCCGACGTCTACACGCAAGGTGGGCCCTTGTTCTGCTTCCTTGTTAGGGTTTAGGGTTTAGGGTTTTAGGGTTTAGGGTTTGGGGTTTAGGGCTTGGGCTTCGGGGGTTCCCTACCCTCAGCCCGAAATCCTAAACTTAACAAGGATCCTTTTTTAAGTATTCCCTAGTGGGAATGTGATCAGATAAGAATGTAAAATGACATCCAGCAAGGGCCCTTCTTGAGGGGTTATTTGTACTGGAGCTTGTAGGGTGTAGGGCATTTAGGGCTTTTAGGGCTTGGGGTGTAGAGTTTAGGGTTTAGGGCTTGTCGGGTTGAAGAAAGGCGTTCCGGGTGTTTAGGGGCTTGCAGGGCTGTTTGGAGTTCCTAGAGCTCAAGTAGGGTTCAGGGTTTAGGGTTTAGGGTTTAGGGTTTAGGGTGTTAGGGTTTAGGGTTTCGGGTTTAAGGTTTACATCCTCGACCAACATCCTATGCTCAGGCGTGTCCACACTGACGGGCTACACGAACCGGTCGGAGGCAACCGTGAATCTCGGCCCCTTCGGCTTCAGCGAATAGAAGGGTCAGAATAGTTACTAATCGTATCCCCATCTGAGGGTCCCTTTGTAATTATACTACAATAACCCACCCCCCCCAAAACCCTGTTAAAATTATTAAGGCCGCTATAGTAGGGGCTCAACCCTAAACCCTAAACCCTAAACCCTAAACCCTAAACCCTAAACCCTAAACCCTAAACCCTAAACCCTAAACCCTAAACCCGGGGTACCCTTTTGGGCGTTCCTACAGTAAGGATGTTGGGGCTGTATTCGGAGCATCCTATTTTGGGCAATGCCCTTGTGGAGATGGTGGGTGTGAAGGTGCTGCTTAGGTTGAGAGGCTTTGTGCAATCTTTAGGCACCCCGAAATGCAAAAAAAGTGGCAAGGGTTTAGGGTTTTAGGGTTTAGGGTTTATAGGGTTTGTTTAGGGTTTAGGGTTTAGGGTTTCGGGTTTAGGGTTTAGGGTTTAGGGCTTGGCAGGTCGGCGGATTGCAGCAGACCCCCACAACCCTGCTTTCCCAAGCCTTAGGTTCGAACACTCACCCCGCCTTGGGAGCCACTTGCGCAATGTTGTCATCTGCTATGCTTGCGTTCCTAGCAGCAAGTTTGCCAAGGGGAATCGGCTTAACATGGCCTTCTGAAGGAGCTACGCAACCAAAATGAGCCAGACTTGCAGGAAGGCCCTGGATGTATGTGTCGGACAGCGGAAACATGCCATCTCAAGCCGACTTCGGCAGCAGCAGCCAATGTGTCACCCTCATATTATTGCACATGTTTGCTTTCCATCCACATATCGTACAGTGTTCTAGGCATCATGCAAGATGGCATGGGCATGCTGCCGATGAGCGTGGAGGTACCGACAACCGCCGGGCAGTTGATCGTCAGGCAAGGCAGCGGTGTCCCGGCCTTGGTGCAGATCGACAGCGACGATGCAGAAGCGGAGCAGGTGCCCACTTCTCCTCGGCCAGTGGTGCTGCCGGAGGAGAGGGACACATGGAAGGAGAGGCGGCGGAAACGAGCCGTCTGGCGATCCAGGCTTCTAGATGAAAAGAAGCACGGCAAGACATCTTCTCCGGCGAATATGCAGCCCCAGCATGCCCCGCTTCCTGCTGGCCAGGTTGACAGGCAGAGCTTGGCGTCTGCTTCGGGCTTCCCTTGGTCCAACACTGGAGCGGACTCCGGGAAGAGCAGCAGTTGCTTCCTGCCACCCTATTTTGGCGAGGTGCCTGTGATGCACTGTGCGGGAAGTGGCAACTTAGCTATCCCCAGCCCAGCGGTCGAGCCATACTGGTGCAAAGCAGAGGCTTGCGCCTTCTGGTGGAGAATGGGCGATGGGGAGCACCCCAGCTGGACCCAAAGCAGAGATTCCAACGTGTGTACCTGGGAGCAGATGTACGAGGGCTACCATTGAAAAAGGTGCGCCTGCAAATTGGGAATCCTGGGTCCTTAGGGTTTAGGGTTTAGGGTTGAGGGTTTAGGGTTTAGGGTTTAGTCGGAAGCCAAAGACGGAAAGCTGGGGCTGTTCGTTGCTGTTTAAGGTTCCCCATCTTTGGACCCTAAGGCGCTGAGGGCTTAAAGCTCCGAAAGGCCACAAGCCCCCAACGCCGCAGGTCAATGAAGCCTACGAAGCTGTCAGCCCGAAATTTCGGGGTTTGGGGCTTAGGGTTTAGGGTTAAGGGCTTAGGGTTCATGGTTTAGGGTTTAGGGTTCAGGGTTTAGGGTTGGGATTTAGGGTTAAGGGCTTAGAGGCCATAACTTGTAAAGCTCCTGCGGGGGGTTCCACGCTGTGAACCATTTAGGGTCCGCCAGCGCCGCTGGCACCAAAATAAGTTCATCTCCGTTGGCCCTCAACCTTAGTTCGATCAGGCCCCCTTGGTCGGGCCCCTTGGTGAAGCTGGGAAGCCTTACTAGGGTGGTCGGGTGAACCACAGGGAGGGGAGGGGGTTCGGAGCTTAGGCTTTCGGGTTAGGGCTTAGGGGCTTGAGGTATAATTAGGGTTTAAGCCCCAGGCCCAAGACCCCCACCGCTCAACCCCTCAACCCCTCAACCCCTCCCCTCAACCCCTCAACCCCTCAACCCCTCAACCCCTCAACCCCTCAACCCCTCAACCCCTCAACCCCTCAACCCCTCAACCCCTCAACCCCCCTTGAATCTGGTTGTATCTTACAAGACAACAACGTGAGTTGAGCTCCTGCACCAAAATTTTAAGCTCTAACCCTAAACCCGAAACCCCAAAACCCTAAATCCGAAACCGCTAAACCGCTACACCGCTAAACCCTAAACCCTAAACCCTAAACCCTAAACCCTAAACCCTAAAACCTAAACCCTAAACCCTAAACCCTAAGCCCTAAACCCTAAACCCCTAAACCCTAAACCTAAACCTTAAACCTCCAAACCCGAGACAAACCCGGCCGAGGCTTCCTTGCCACCAACGTCACCAGGAACAGCGCGCTGCGGGATGGCTCGGACCTCGCTGTGCGGAGGACCACCCCTCCACCTCCCCCCCCCCCACCCCCTTTGGGGTTTAGGGTTTAGGGTTTGGGGTTTAGGGTTTGGGGAATCTGGGGGTTGGAGAAGGGGGGGGGGGGGGGCTAAGGACTTAGGATCATTGTCAGGGTTTTGGGTTTAGGTTTTTGTGGTTTCCGAGTGGAGATGTGTTTTTTGTTGTAGTTTTTCATTTCTTTTTTTTTGGGGGGGGTTAGCGTTCAGGGTTTGGAGATCAGGGTGGCTGTTGGGGTTTTAGCCTTGGGGTTCATGGACTTGGGGCCAGCAATGTCTGTGAGCCGGTCCCATTCGCAGTCTCGCAAGCCTGTTTCTTCCCAGGGGGCAAACATCGCGCGCCAATGATCATCGGCATTTCGCGTCGGAGTTATGCAAGCCGCAAGCCGAGACTTTAAACCCCAAGCTTGGGATGTCCCCCTTATACAAGCAGTCCTTAATGGGGATTATAGTACCCCCTATTATCATCCCGATGAAGGACTGTTAGTATAAGGGGAACATCCCAACCCTAAGCCCTCAACCACAATCCCGACAAGGCGGGCCCGTCTGCCTGAATACCTGTAGGCGCCTTTTCGCACAAATCTGCAGCGCGGTGCCCAGAGTCTTCTGTACAAGAATGGGGTGAAGCCCCCGATGAACATTGGTACTCCCAAGTCACAAGCCTGGATCCCGAATAACTGTGAACCCCTAAAGACCCTAAAGACCCTAAAGACCCTAAAGACCCTAAAGACCCTAAAGACCCTAAAGACCCTAAAGACCCTAAAGACCCTAAAGACCCTAAAGACCCTAAAGACCCTAAAGACCCTAAAGACCCTAAAGACCCTAAAGACCCTAAAGACCCTAAACCCTAAACCCTAAACCCTAAACCCTAAACCCCCAAGGCTTGACATGGGTAAGGACCAAGATGTGTCAGGCCAGAAGGTGTTTAGGGGATTTAGGGTTCCGGGGGGTGTTGGCGGGGTTAGGTCTCTGTTCGGATTTTCCGGATTGAGGGGTTTAAGGTCTAAGGTTCCGAGTTCAAGCTTTTAAGGCTTCGGGCTTAGCTTTTAGGGTTTAGGGTTTAGGGTTTAGGGTTTAGGGTTTCTAAGGTTTAGGGCTTCGGGTTGTGAGGATTCACGGTCTCTAGCTGTGGCGCCAGGATGAACCTGGACGACAGCACCGAGCAGGACTGGCTGGTCTCCTGCAATGCGGCCACAGTCGCTCAGCCCCGAAACACTCTTCTGGTGTTAGAGTTTGGGTTTAGGGTTTGGGGTTTGGGGTTTAGGGTTTAGAGGGTGACGCATTTGGGTTTTGGGTTTGGGGTTTAGGGTTTGGGGTTTAGGGTTTGGGGTTTAGGGTTTGGGGTTTAGGGTTTGGGGTTTGAAGGGGTTCAGCATGTGGGGTTCGGGTTTGCAGGCCATGGGACTCAGGCTGTAGCCAGAGAAGGCCGACCCTTCATCTTAAGTTTTCCAGCCCAAAGCCCCAAAACCTTACACCCTAATCCCTAAACCTAAAACCGAAACCCTAAACCCGAACAACCCAAGCCCTAGGAGCCCCAAAGCTTACAGCTTGGAGATTGAATTCAAAGCCGTAAGAGTCCCAAGCCTCATCTATCCTCAACAGTAAGCCTTAAACCCTCAACCCTCAACCTAAGCTTAGGGCTGTGAGTTCGGGAGTTGAAGCCGAAGGCTAGGGTTCAGGGTTTGGGGTTCAGGGTTGAACCCGAAAAATCAAGTTGGGATGGTTTAGGGCTTAGGGTTTAGGGTTTGGGGTTCAGGGTTCAGGGTTCAGGGTATAGGGTTTAGGGTTCAGGGTTCAGGGTATAGGGTTTGGAGGATCATGGTTGCCAGTCGGGGCCTGTTCGGCGAGCTTGGGGTGGAGGGTATGGGAGTCAGGGGCCCAGCAACAGGTTCAAGGGTTCAGTGGAGTTGTTGTTGCAAGGCCCTCTCGGACAAAGCATTCATGTATACCGTTTGGGGTTAGGGTTTGGGGTTTAGGGCTTGGGGTTTACGGCGTAAATTCTTCTCAGGGAACCATGAGACTCTAAATCGACTGCAGTGGCGGCTCACTCGGAAGGGAACCCCCTTAGGGTTTAGGGTTTAGGGTTTAGGGTTTAGGGTTTAGGGTTTAGGGTTTAGGGCTTCGAGCCATAAAGCAAGCAAGCGCGGAGAAAGGTCTTGCTGCAGTCGCTCGACGAGCCGGCCTCCTTTTATTCGCTGACGATGCTGGGCATGGTTCGACCCCCCAAAATGAAAACCCCAACCCCCCACAACGGTTCTCCAAAACTTTGAGATCCCGGATCCCGCAAAGCCCTAAGCCCTTACACTCTTAAGCCCTTAAACCCTTCAACCCTTAAACCCTTAAACCCTTACACCCTAAACCCCAGACCCTAAAACCTAAAACCCAGAGATGAGGATGACCGGGCTGAGCCCGTCCGGCTCGGCAGGGGCCGTCTGGGATTTCGACGGCTTCATCTACTGCGCCCAACCCACAATTTCTTTGGGGGGGGGGGTTTAGGTTCTAAAGGTTCCGGCTTTTGGGGGCTTCAAGCCCTAAACCCTCAAGTTTCACCGGGGTTTCAGGGAGCTAGGGCTTCGGGATGTTTAGCCCGCCACCGTCCTTGCCGTACCCTCATTTTGTGAAAAAGAAGCAGCTGGCTTCCGGTGACGTGCTTATTTTTGGGCTCGTAAAAACACACGCGAATGACAGGCGTGTTTTGCATTTCGCCTGGGTGGCGGGTTCACAAAAACATGAATGCAGGTATCTTCCTGACTCTTGCTTCTGTAAACACTTTGGCTCCAGGTGTGACTTTCCGTTAATGGACGTAGGCGGTTTGGGGGAACCCTAACCCTGAAATTTGAACCTGAAATTGGGGGTTTTAGGGTTCAGGGTTTTGGGTGCCTTGACCTGCTCTTCGGGTTCGGGTTTTAGGGTTCAGGGTTTTGGGGGCCTTGCAGTGCCCCTTCGGGTTTATTTGGGGTTCGGGTTTAGGGTTTAGGGTTTAGGGTTTAGGGTTTAGGGTGAGCGGCTTTGCCTGGTTCTTTCCGGGCCCTATCAGCTCATTCCCGTACATCCCCAAACCCCCATACCGTAAACCCTAAACGGTGAACCCGAACCCCGAGACTCCTAAAATCCAATTCCTTAAGAACCCCCCTAAAAATATAACATTCTTCCTTATAAGGGTAACATGGGTATTATTATTCTTCATTTTTTGGGGGTTCTTAAGCGAATAGTAGAAATCCCTGCAAGCCCTGAACCTTGAACTGCAGCGGACATCAGGCGAAGCCCCGCCCAACTTGGGTGATTCGGGTGAGGGTTTAGGTTTTAGGGTTTAGGGTTTAGGGTTTGGGGTTTAGGGTTTGGGGTTTAGGGTTTAGGGTTTAGGGTTTAAGGTTTAGGGTTTAGGGTTTAGGGTTGGGGTTTAGGTTTTAGGGTTTAGGGTTTAGGGTTTAGGGTTTAGCGTTTTGCGTTTAGCGTTTAGCGTTTATCTGCAATGCTTGACCCTAAAAGCATAGGAGGCTTTGCACAAGCCTTCAACCCCTCCATCCTTGAACCCTCCAAGCCCCCCTCGTCGAGGCGCGTACAACAACGGCGTGGACGGCGTCATCGAGATCTACTTGGACTGGGAATCCGAAATCTCTGATCCCGATCCCCTATGCAGATCTCAGGGCCTGCTCTCAACAAAGCCTTCAACCCTCCAACCCTCAACCCCGAAACCCTCAACTGTCAACCCCGAACCCCTCCCCAAATAAGGTACCCTAATATCGTAAACCCCCACCTCACCCCGATGCGAGGATGAAGTTGATCTCGTGAACAAGACCGTGCCTGTCGTGCGGGCGTCGACGCTCGACTGCGAGGGCCGCCCGAAGCCAAAGCTCTTCCCTCCTAAGCCCCAAAATCTGTTCTTGTCCCATAGACATTTCCTAGGAGTGAGGCGGTGAATGATGTGGAACATCCCCGACCAAACCTCCCAAGAAGGGCAAGCACCTAAGCCCCCAAAGCCCCCCAAACCCTAATCCCCCCCTCCCCAATCTCAAGACCCCTAAACCCCTAAACCTTGAACCCGAAACCCTTCACCCCTAAACCCCAAACCCTAAACTCTAAACCCTAAACCCTAAGCCCTAAACCTTGAACCCTAAACCCCAAACCCTAAACCCATATATAGTCGCAGGAACTCAGAAGCGCTGACGAACGATGGCAACGACGGCCACCTGGGCTGGTGAAGGGATGTGGGTGGTTCTCCAAATTAGGGTTTAGGGTTTAGGGTTTAGGGTTTAGGGTTTAGGGTTTAGGGTTTAGGGTTTAGGGTCCCTTTCGAGGCCCTTTTGCTTTAAAGGGTGCCGTGCTGTATAGGGGACCCTAAACGGGACCCTCATCTAAATTACGGGGTCCCTTGTTAGTTCCCCAAAATAGTACGGCACCTTGAAAAACAAGGGCCGTAAAAGGGACCCGAATGTAAAGAGCTACCCGCATGTGTGTGTGTGTGTGTGTGTGCTTTGGGGCTTTGTAGGGTTTAGGTTTCTTTTGTCTAAGGGCTTTAAGGGCTCGTAGGATGTAGGTTTTTTGGGGTTGAAGGGGTAGGTTGGGATGGTTCCCCTTATAGTAACAGTCCTAAATGGGCTTCATAATTGTAAACGCTTGCGCGCGCCGCCTCGGCAGCCGGGCCGGCCCCAGGACAAGGAGGAAAGAGGGTTTCGCAAAAAAAGGGAGGAAGGGCAGAGCGGGTGGGGGGTGGGGGGGGTTGGGGGGGGGGGGGGGGGGGGTGGGGGGGGTAGGGGGGGGGCGTTTTGAGGCACTCCCTGTAGGAGCCACCGACAACTCCACGGGCATCGGGTTGCAGCTCCTCCAAGGGATTGGGGGGGGTCCCACAGGGCGGGGGGGGGGGGGGGGGGTGGCGTCAGAAAATGCGGCATGGGGGGAAGGGTTGGGTTAGGGGGAAGGAGGCCCGATCCGGGTCTGCTTGTTCCAGACGCTTCTCGGCAGGAAGCCGGGGGTACTAGAATCCCTATTAAGCACTGTTGGTATACGGGGGAACATCCCCCTGAACCCCAAACCCTAAACCCTAAACCCTAAACCCCAAACCCTAAACCCTAAACCATCCCAACTTAATTTTTCGGGTTTGTAGGGTCTATGGGGCTTAAAATGTTAGGGTTTACAAGGTTTATCTGAAGGGTTTAGGGGGAGCTCGCGGTGCCTTGATGTGAGGCTTTAGGGTTTAGGGTGTAGGGTGTTGGGTTTCGGGCTTAGGGTTTAGGGTTTAGGGTTTTGTTTTTCTGAGATTTGGGGTTCTGAGATTTGGGTTTAGGGGTTGGGGGAAGGTGTTTGCGGCTTTCAGGGTTCAGGGTCTAGGGTTTCTGGGATATGAGGTTAGGATGTTTGCGAGCTTGGCGATTTGTGAGTTTAGGGGACTTCTGGGAACTCTAGCGCTCCCGAAAACCAACGGTCGGAGCTCACAAAATCTCTAAACCCCAAACCTTTAAGCCCTCAACCCTAAACCCTGAAGCCAACGGCACCAGCTACCGGAATTGGAGAAGCATCCTGTCCCTCTTCGGGAAAGTATGGGGGGGGTACTTCATGTGGTTTCAACATGCACACCCGACCAGACCATACGCTTCCGGGAGTTTACGATACTAGGGGCTTACGAAAACAGGGGAGCCCTTATCTAGACCCCCGCAAAGAGTAGGATTCCCTTATAATGAGGACCCCAAAAACGTACCCCCAATATCGTAAACACAAGTATTAGGGGTACCTTCTTGGGGGTCCTTATAGGAAGGGGATCCTACTATTTGGGTCTCTATTCGGGGTCCCTCGTAAACACCATTCTAGCCCGCCCTTCATCCATTGGCTTAATTGCAGGCCAGCTAAACCCTAAACCCTAAACCCGAAGCCCTAAACCCTAAACCCTAACCCTAAACCTTAAACCCTAAACCCTAAACCCCCTAAGCCCTAAACCCTAAACCCCCAAAACCCAAGACGAGCTTGGGGCGCGCTGAGGCCTGAACTGCATCAACGCCCCCACGCCCTTCCCCACCACCACGACCACCACCACCACGCTGCCGCTGGCCGCCCGGCGCGCACACGGAGGGAGGAGGGAGCCGATTCAGTGCTCGGGGTTTTTGTTTTTGTCTGTAAAGGCCTCGGCTTTGGTTGTTTAGGTTTAGGGTTCAGGGTTCAGGGTTTTAGGGGAGGGCGGCTGATCATCATAGCCAGAAGACATGTGGAGACCCTGTGAGCCTCAACCGCATAGCCCCTAAAGCAGTGATGAACCAAAAGCCCATTCAACCTTGGCTGAACCCTAAACCCTAAACCCTAAACCCTAAACCCTAAACCCTAAACCCTAAACCCTAAACCCTAAACCCTAAACCCTAAACCCTAAACCCTAAACCCTAAACCCTAAACCCTAAACCCCAAGAGCTACACCCCCAAGCCTCAGGTCCAGTGCTTTAACGAGCCTTTCGATTGCACAGCTGCAGGCCATGAAAGTGTGCCGCTTCATATTCAGGCGTTTCGATTTTTTTCGGGTTTAGGGCTTAAGGGTTGAAAGGCTCGAGGCATTGAGGTCTTGTCAAAGTGTGGACTCTTTGCCACCCTAGGCCTAAACCCTAAACCCTAAACTCTAAACCCTGAACCCTAAACAACCCTAAACCCTAAACCCTAAACTCTTTGCCGGCTCCCCTGGCTGGGGAGGCGGATATGTGGACTTGCCCCTGGTGCGCCCTGCCTGCGCTTGAGGGCGGGCCGTTGACTGCTCCGGGGCTTGCTTTGCGGTTCCTGGTAGGGGGTTTAGGGTTTAGGGTTTAGGGTTTAGGGGTACCCTACAAAAAAGCCCTTACAAGGTTCTATACACTGGGGGTTATGAGGTAGTCCACTCGCTCATTCCCCTTTTGAGAGCTGCTTTGAAGGGCTTGGGGGCCAAAAAGTTTGCAAGAGACAGAAGTGATGTTTCCTTTCTTTCTGCATGGGGGGGGGGGGGGGGGCGGGCTGGGTTAGGGTTTAGGGTGTCGGGTTCAGGGTTCAGGGTTCAGGGTTCAGGGTTCAGGGTTGAGGGTTTAGGGTTTAGGGTTTATGGTTTAGGCTGCGGGTGTTGGGGCGGAAGTCAAACCACAAAACCGTCGAAGCCCCTCAAAGCTCACCACAAAGGTCCTGGACCAAGCACCTTGAAAACCCTTCAAGCCCCTCCTCCCGTGAAACGCCACTAAACCCCCCGAAACCCTAAACCCTAAACCCTAAACCCTAAACCCTAAACCCTAAACCCTAAACCCTAAACCCTAAACCCTAAACCCTAAACCCCAAACACCAAACCCTAAACCCTAAACCATAAACCCTAAACACTAAACCCCAAGCTCTAAGAAAGCAAAAGCGAATCCCAGGATGGCTGCTTCTCTAATCCCGTCCGGTGGCGGTCGCTGCACTGCCACGCGTCTGCACCTGGGCCTCTTCTTTGGGTTGGTTTGATGAGAAGTTTAGGGTTTAGGGCTCTTAAGGCTTCTGTTTCTAAGAACTTTGAAGCCTGTTTCCGTACTCTGTAAGCCCTCACCTCCTAAACCCTTTCACCTAAACCCTTAATTATGCCAGCGTACAGTGATGGCATCTTAGCATTCCCTAAACCCTAAGCCCCAAACCCTAAACCCTAAACCCTAAACCCTAAACCCTAAACCCTAAACCCCAAACCCCAAACCCCAAGCCCCCCTAAACCAGGAGTCGAGCCTGAAGATTCTGAACGCCACCACTGGGGAGTACGAGCGCCTTGGGTCCAGCTTCTTCTTCCTGTTGGTTAGTAGGGTTTAGGGTTTAGGGTTTAGGGTTTAGGGTTTAGGGTTTAGGGTTTAGGGTTTAGGGTTTGGGGGAGGGAATGAATGAGGTACCCCATATAACCCTTAAAGGGCATAAACGCTTGGAGGCTTATGGTACTTATGAACCAATTATAACTTTACTTATTACTGTACCCATAACCACCCAGGCCACTTAAGGGGCCAAAAAGTGGGTTGCAAGTACAGTTACAATTGGTTAATCAGTACTATGAACCTCCAAGTATGGGGGATGTAGAGTACCTCATTCCCTTAGAGGGTATACCTCATAGGGGGATACAGAGTACCTCATTCCCTTAAAGGGTATATATACGGGGATATAGGGTACCTCATTCCCTCATTCCCTACTAAGCAACAGTAAGTTTTGTGCTAAGCTTTTGCGTGGGATCAAGGCTCAGGTTTAGGGCTTTAGAGTTTTAGGGTTTGGGGTTTCGGGGTTAGGGGTTTCGGGTCTTTAGGGTTTAGGGCTTTAGAGTTTTAGGGTTTGGGGTTTGGGGTTTGGGGGTTTAGGGTTTGGGGTTTGGGGTCTTTAGGGTTTGGGGCTTTAGAGTTTTAGGGTTTGGGGCTTTAGAGTTTTAGGGTTTGGGGTTTGGGGTTTTGGGTTTTGGTTCAGAGTTTAGGGTTTGGGGTTTGGGGTTTAAGGGTTTGGGGTTCAGTCTTTTGGATTTCGGCTTTAGGGTTCGGGGTTTTGGTTCAGGGTTTAGGGTTTGGGGTTTAGGGCCTAGGGCCCTGTTCCCAAGCCCTAGCCTGCGCCAACTCCATGCCCAGATAAGTAAGTAATTCTGCAAATTGGGTTCGCTTTTGGGTTCCTCAATGCAGTACGCACCTTCCAGAAGTTAAGGGCCCCCAAAAGGTACCCTGATTTAGAGCACTTAAGGCCTAAACCCTAAACCCTAAACCCTAAACCCTAAACCCTAAACCCTAAACCCTAAACCCTAAACCCTAAACCCTAAACCCTAAACCCTAAACCCTAAACCCTAAACCCTAAACCCTAAACCCTAAACCCTAAACCCTTAAACCTAAACCCTAAACCCTAAACCCTAAACCCTAAACCCTAAACCCTAAACCCTAAACCCTAAACCCTAAACCCTAAACCCTAAACCCTAAACCCTAAACCCTAAACCCTAAACCCTAAACCCTAAACCCTAAACCCTAAACCACCCTAAACCCTAAACCCAGATTTAGAACACCCCCAAGCCCTCAGCCTGAAGCCCCAAGCCACAGAAGACTTGTTCCTTTAGGGTTTAGGGTTTAGGGTTTAGGGTTTAGGGTTAGGGTTTAGGGTTTAGGGCTTAGGGTTTAGGGCTTAGGGCTGAAGGCGCACCCTCTGCAAGTTCCCGAACCTTCCCGGGGACCAGTGCCTGAATGCCTGCGGCATCAACCCCGCGGACAGCCACTTGAGAGCAGCTCCAGGTTTTTGAATCCCTAAGCCCTAAGCCCTCAGCCCTAAGCCCTAAACCCTAAACCCTAAACCCTAAACCCTAAACCCCAAACCCTAAACCCTAAACCCTAAACCCTGAACCATAAGCGCAGTTTGGGCTCATTTGTGTGTTTTTTCGTGGCAGCCTGGGGCTTCAAGTTTCAACCCCCCAGGCCCCATCTCCCACGGAAAGGTGGATCTCTGGAATCTTGCATCCCGCGATTTGCTGCAGCAACCTTGCATTTGGGTTTAGGGTTTAGGGTTTAGGGTTTAGGGTTTAGGGTTTAGGGTTTAGGGTTTAGGGTTTAGGGTTTAGGGTTTAGGGTTTAGGGTTTCGGGTTTAGGGTTTAGAGTTTAGGGTTTAGCGTTTAGAGTTTAGGGTTTAGGGTTTAGGGGTTAGGGGTTAGGGGTTGAGGGCTCAGGGCAGTAAACTCTCGAACCCCGATGAAGAGGGGGTTTGGCGTCAGAGACCTGACCGAGCCCGCAAGCCCCTCCAAAGACCCCCGTCCCGAAACATTCGGGGATTCTGGCTTGAAAGTGCGGAGGTGTAGTTTTTTTTGTTTTTTTTTTGGGGGGGGGGGGGGGGGGGGGGGGGGGGGGGGGTGGGGGTTGGGGGTGTTGGGGTTTGGGGATTGTCTCGCAAGTGCATGTCAGGTTCCATCTACTGCCTCTCATCGCCCAGCAACCGCAGCCTGTCCGCGAGAATCCCACAGCCCGAGGCGCTGGACTTGGATGTTCCCCTTTATAGTAACAGTCCATTTTAGGGATCATAGTCCCCCGTTGTTAGTATAAGGGGGAACATCCCAACGCTAGACCTTCAATCCGATGTGCCCTCTGCCTGAGTTCTATGTGTTAGTCCGCGTGCCCTCCTGCTGCTTAACATGCCGGACAGAGCTTCGTCTGAAATTGGTAAAGGGGAACATGCAGAGGAACAGGACAGCGCAGCGAATGGATACACCCCCAAACCCTAAACCCTAAACCCCCTAAGCCCCCCAAGGCCCCTAAGCCGCCTAAGCCCCCCAAGCCCCCTAAGCCCCCTAGGCCCCCTAAACCCCCTTAGCCCCCTTGAGCCCCTTAAGCCCCTTAAGCCCCCTAAGCCCCCTAAGCCCCCTAAGCCCCCTAAGCCCCCTAAGCCCCCTAAGCCCCCTAAGCCCCCGAAGCCCAAGCTGCAATCTCTGGCTCTCAGGTTTCCTTGCCCGGGTCACGTGCCCTCTGACGGGCAGCGTCTCGACATGTTCTGTGTGAGTTGCAGGGTTTGAGGTTTCAGAAAAGGTTCAGGGGCATGAGTTTTTGGAGGGTTTGGGGTTTACGAGTAAGAGTTCACGGGTTTAAGGTTTAGGGTTTAGGGTTCAGGGTTTAGGGCTTGGAGCACAGTGGAGGTTCATTGAGTGTAGGGTTTGGGGATTAGGGTTCAGGGCTTCGTTTAGCGTGAAGCCTGCATGCTCCAGAGTGCAGAACTGCGAAACCCTAAAGTGCTAGAGGCTTCGGGTTTAGGGTTAGGGTTTAGGGTTTAGGGTTTAGGGTTAGGGTTTAGGGTTTAGGGTTTAGGGTTTAGGGTTTAATGTTTAGGGTTTAGGGTTTAGGGGTTTGGGGTTTGGGGTTCAGGGTTTATTGAGGGTTTAGGGTTTAGGGTCTAGGGTCTAGGGTTTAGGATTTAGGGTTTAGGGTTTAATGTTCCGTACGATGCAGCAGCTGAGATGACACCTTCACGCCCGAGGGCACCGTGTGCTGGCTGGGAAGCTTTGGCGTGCGGTGTCCCGGATGCCCTTGAGGTTTCGGGTTTAGGGTGTAGGGTTTAGGGTTTAGGGGCCCTCAGCCCTCAACCCTGCAAGGGGTTTAGGGCTTTAGGGTTTGAGGTTGGGGGATCTTAGAATTTGAGGCCCTTAGGCTTTACAGGGTCAAGGGTAGGGTGTAGGATTTGGCCCATTTGATGGGTTTAGGGGTTCAGGAGGTGCTTTCTCAGATTCGCCACTGCCGAGGTTCTCGCGGGCGGGGGACTTCAACATTCGCAGCCTGGGCCCGTCAGTCTGTGCGCTGCGAGGTCCTCATCTTCAAGAGTTCTAAGCCTAAGCACAAACCCTAAAACCCTTGACCACACTGGATTCTCAAAATTGGGGAGGGGGATTTTTGAGAGGTTACGCGCTTCCGAAAGGGCCAGTCCCAGTAAACACGAGCATAAATTTAGGGTTTGGGACCGTCTAGGCGCCCTTTTCGCGCCCAGGCAACGACGAGTTCGTCTTCCAGTCCAACTCGATTTTTGAGCTTCCAAGCAGCCAAACTGCACAGAGTCGGTTCGGTTCAGGGTGTCGCAGGCCGGTTTGCGAACAGGGACGGTTTTACATAAGACAGCACATCGGCCCAGGCTGTTCCAGAGTGCCGTGGGGTTTGACTGCAAACGTGGCCTGCGCATAGACTTCGGATGACTTCACAGTGGCCCGCTTCATTCTTGCTCGTTTTTTCTGAGCCTTCTTTGGACACGCATGTTCGACGGAACGTTGTGCCAATGTATTCTTGCTGTTTTGTTCTTGTGTTTTGGGGGCATGCCTCTTTTGGTTTAACAGGGGGAGGTCCCCCAAACCCTAACCCCTACCCCCTAACCCCTAACCCCTAACCCCTAACCCCTAACCCCTAACCCCTAACCCCTAAACCCTAAACCCTAAACCCTAAACCCTAAACCCTAAACCCTAAACCCCAAACCCCAAACCCTAACCTATTTCACCATTTCACGACCCGACGAAGCCCCATTTGACAACTCGAACACTTATTTTGCAACCATGGACAGCATTTTTGACCTGAGAACGCCCACCTTACAACTCGACGACCTGGGAAGCCTCTCTCTCTCTCTCTGTCGTTCTTTGGGAGCTTCCGAAATTAGGGGTACCTTATTGGGTGTCCTTTTGATAAGGGAATCCTACTTTTGGGGGATTCTATTGGGGTCCCTTCCCTAAAGCCCAAACCCCAAACCCCAAACCCCAAACCCCAAACCCCAAACCCTAAACCCTAAACCCTAAACCCTAAACCCTAAACCCTAAACCCTAAACCCTAAACCCTAAACCCCAAACCCCAAACCCCAAACCCTAAACCCTAAACCCTAAACTCTAAACCCTCGAGGTTCAGACCTTAAGCCGAAAGCCTCCAACCTCAGACTTTGAGCCCCCCGCCATGTGAGACATCACGGAGTTCACCGGCTACACGACGCAACCCGATATCGACCTTAGAGCCTCGACTTGCTAATCGGGTTTAGGGTTTAGGGTTTAGGGTTTAGGGTTTAGGGTTTAGGGTTTAGGGTTTAGGGCTAGGGTTTAGGGTTTAGGGTTTAGGACGGAGGGGGGATTGTTTGCAGAGGAGTGTCAGGACGCCTGCTTTGGTTTAGGGTTTAGGGTTTAGAGTTTAAGGACTGTCAGCATCCCAACCTGAGCCCTCGGCCCCTGAGCTCCAAACCTCTGGCATGTTTTGTTAAGCCCTTACTCAACCCTAAACCCTAAACCCTAAACCCTAAACCCTAAACCCTAAACCCTAAACCCTAAACCCTAAACCCTAAACCCTGAAAGATAGGAAAGGGTTTAGGGCCAAGTTCAGGGTTTAGGGTGTAGGGTGTAGGTTTGAGGGGCAATGCCAGTCTTAGCAGCCGAGCGAGTTGCCTGCTTATATTTTTTTGGGAACTGGCAACGAGGGTATGCTGTTGCAAGTTTCCGAACCCTAGACCCTAAACCCTAAACCCTAAACCCTGAGCCCTGAACCCTAAACCCTAAACCGTAAATACAACCCTTCATATTCAGGCACACATATAAACCACCTTGGGGTCCAACGAGGTGCCTGGAGACGGGGATACCTGAGGGCTAGAGGTCCTTTGAGGTTCCCGGGAAAGGAAACAAAAGAAAAGGAAGAGCCACACCGTTTGGGTTCCTCTTCCCCTGTTCTCATCGATGCACGGGAAGACGATCCCTCAGCCCTAAACCCTAAACCCTGAGTCCTCAACCCCAAACCCCTCAACCCTCAACCCTCAACCCTCAACCCTCAACCCTCAACCCTCAACCCTCAACCCTCAACCCTCAACCCTCAACCTTCAACCCTCAACCCTCAACCCTCAACCCTCAACCCTCAACCCTCAACCCTCAACCCTCAACCCTCGACCTCAAACTCTATATAAACCCTAAACCCCAAACCTCAACCCTCAACCCTCAACCCTCAACCCTCAATAAACCCTAAACCCCAAAAACCAAAACCCTAAACCCTCAACCCTCAAACCTAAACCAACCCCCAACCACCCTCTCCTCCGAGATCCCAACGCCACGCAGCTGAACAACGCCTTCTGGGGACCCGAGGACCTGGTCGTGGTGAACCAGCTTCTTCGCTTCACCTTACATGGGGGGGTTTAGGGTTTACACTTCCTCGAGTTCGAACGCGACGACGTAGAAGCCAAATATAAGTAGTAATACTTGCCCTTAAGGTTCATTGTTCTAACTTCACAGTCATATTCGCTACCAAAGCCTTTCACCAGTCATTGAGGCCCCTATTTTACACCCCTTAACCCGAAGCCCCAACTTCCGGATCTCCTACATCGAACACGACCGATTATCAGTCACATGAAGAGCAAACGCGCGCACGTATTTTGGCATTCGTATGAATACCGTTGGTGTGGCTTTGGTTGCGATGCTGAGCACCATTGCATACGCTCTTGCCGTTGGCACTGCGGTTGTTGCTGGCCATGTGCTCATTCTTTCGTACTACTACCGCCCGTGGTCGTTGTCATGTGGTGATGATGACGGCTGCTGATTTACCGCCACTCTGGTTGCTATTGTGGTTCCTGCAGCGAGGTTTGCTCGTAGTCGCGGTGTGAAAGGAGCTCTTTCGAAAAAAGCACTCCTGTGCGGGCCTTTCCCCAAAAAGCTTCTCTGACTTTATAAAAGGATCCCGAACGGGTACTGCTAGCTTGAGAGCCCTCGACATGTAGACCGTCAGGCCTTCCACCTTCCTAAAGAAGCACACCTTTCAAGCAGCAGCACAGATTTGCCACATCGAAGGGAGGGTTTAGGGTTTGGGGTTTAGGGTTTAGGGTTTAGGGTTGAGGGTTTACGGTTTAGGGTTTAGGATTTAGGGTTTAGGGTGAAGGCCTTGTCTGAAAAAAACCTCTTTGGCTCAAGCACAGCACATAGAGAACAGAGTAGAGGGATTTTGCCAAGTTCTACGCCCTTGACTCACGATGTCGGCCGCGTGCCAAACTCTCGTGTTGAAGGTCGGAACTTCGACGATCATGACCTCGGACGAGCGAGGCCAGCGCGTGAATGTCGCGAACCTCTCGAGGTTAGTTGAAGTCATCGCAGACCTTGCCTACCAAGGGTTCAAGGTTGTCCTTGTCTCTTCCGGAGCAGTTGGCATGGGCTGCCGCGAGCTGGGGTTGAAGAAGAAGCCCACGACGCCGGCGCTGAAACGAGCAGTCGCTGGGGCCGGCCAAAGTCGCATCATGCGTGTGTACTCGGAGCTCTTCGAGACAGTGGGGCTGAAAATTGCACAGCTCTTGGTGAGTCAGCGTGACTTTTTGGAGCAGCAGCGCTGGGCTGAAATTCGAGACACGATTGCAGCATGTCTCGAAACTGGCGTGGTTCCAATCATCAATGAGAACGACACCACCAACACGGACGGCATGCGCTTTGGTGACAACGACAACCTGGCAGCCCTAACAGCGGTTCAGCTAGGGGCGGCTGGCGTTTTTCTGTTCACCGACGTGGACTACTTGTACACGGCCAACCCCAACTTGGATCCATCCGCGGAGCCTATGAGGGTTGTCAACGAGGCCTTCGAACTCGACGTTGACACCCGCGAGCCTGGCTCTTCCCTGGGCACTGGCGGCATGTCCACCAAGGAAGCTGCTGCCCGGACGGCCCACTGTGCGGGGATCCCTTGCGGCATCCTGCATGGCAAGTACCCGGAACGCATCTTCAGTTTCCTGAACAAACTGGATGAGGATGCCGGCTCTACGTGCACCGCCCGGACCTCTCCGAAGGCAGTGGAGAGCGACACCGCAAGTGAGGCGGAGCCCGAACCAGAAGGTACTCTCTTTGCAGCGCGCGAGGGTGAGCAGAGAACTGAAGCTGAAAGGTGGATACTCAGCCTGCCTGTCGTTGGAGATGTCGATGTTCGCCCACCCGACAACCTGGAAAACTTGAGCCCGTGCGATCTTCGGGCGACGCTCTTGGCTACTGCTGCCGAAAGCTTGGAGGGCCTTCAGAGCCTCTCTGGCACAGCCCATGATGGAGGTGTGAGGGTTTTCCACCAGAAGTCGGAAGTTGCACGGATGCGTGTGATCCTGGATGAGGAAGGGGCTTGCGTACCAGCCCCAGAGCCAGAACAGACCATTGTGCTCACCCCTGCCGCAGAGTCCCTCTGCTGAATGTGCGGTTGAATTCTGTTGTTACATCGCTTTTGCTACAGTTTTCGAAGGGACTGGAAATCATCTTGCGCAGGACCTTGCAGCCTAATCCCGCGTTCGTGCCAAGCAACAAATGCTAACAAGTGCACCTAATCCCTGCAGCGCAAGGTCACTGTACAGCTTTGCAAGCTTTCAGACATCCAGATCCTGCTTCAATACACATATGCATTCGCGAAATGCTTGCATACAATTGTACAGACTCTTCAGTGATCCTGGCACGGGCATTTCATGCCGGCCTTCTTGGCTGCACTGCACGGTGGCATGTCTTTGTGTTCAGGAGTGTTGCAGCTGCTGCTGCAATGGCTCGCGTCGCACACCTTGTGTGCAAATTGTCCCAGTCCAGCAAGAAAGAAAAAAAGAGAGACCCTGAGCTCGCGGAGAGGCGCGCGAAAGCCCCCACGAAAGGAAGTTTTTCTCTAGTTTTTTAAAGAGATTCGATGATGTCTGGATAGAGGGCGCGCGACGACCGGCTCAGCTCCCGCATGCTTTGGGTTATCATTAGTCTACCTAACCTGGTGCGGGAATGTCCCGCGCACCATGCAGTTCTTTTTGTCTAGGGCTTGCTACATTCACATATTGCAGGCCTTTTGCAGGGGCCTGGTCTAACCTTCGCATGCAGGACAAGCTTTGTGGTTTGCGGGCTTTAGGATTCTAGAGTTGAGGGTTCAGGGTCGAGACTCGAGAGGGACGACTCGCGTTGGGGTGAGGGTTTTCGAGTCATTGGCTACGAAGGTCGTATCTACTTCTCCGCGATTTCCACGCTCCCAGCACGAGATGTGCTGTTAGCACCATCCAGCGCATTGGTGTTGCCGAGGTGTTTTTCTATGACAGGCACCCGACCTCTTTACCCGAAGCTCTTTGCTGCACAGGAAGGTTTATTCACCCAAGACCCCAACCTTGTACAAGCCGTCTTGGTGCATGGACACATAGCTTCAGCTTGTGAATTCCCGGCGTGAGGGGCTCAGGGTTTCGGCTATCTTGGCGTTTGATGCGATGAGTGTTGAACAGTTTTTTGATGTCCCGCACGATGAGTGTCCAAGAAGGGAGTTGTTCCCGTGCCCCAGACCCCAAATCCTAAACCCCACATCCTAGACCTTTAATCTTCAACCCTACGTCTAAAACCCTGAATCCTAAACCCTCAACCCTAAAGCCCTTACGCTCTCACATGCCCCCTGGACCCTTCAGAGCCTAAGCCCTAAGCAACCCTAAACTCTAAACCCTAAACAAACCCTAAACCCCAAACCCCAAACCCCAAACCCCAAACCCCAAACCCCAAACCCCAAACCCCAAACCCTAAACCCTAAACCCTAAACCCTAAAACCCTAAACCCTAAACCCGAAAACCCTAAACCCTAACCCCTAAGCCCCAAACCCCACTTCTCTGGATCAGCTCTCTTGCATTTCGAGGCTTGACCTGGGAAGTGGGCCGCAGGAGCTACTGGGGGGAGCCTCTTCTGTTTTTGGGGGGTCCTAAACCCTAGACCCTAGACCCTAGACCCTAAACCCTAAACCCTAAACCCTAAACCCTAAACCCTAAACCCTAGGTTGGGGTTCTAGGGTGAAGGGGGTTAGGGTCCAGGGTTGTGGGTGTTTTTTTTTCAGAGTTTTTGGGCTTGCCGGTCGTTGGTTCCCTGCTGTGGTGGGCCTGCAGCCCTCCAATCAATCCAAAAAACCTGTCTGCTCAGAAGTCCATGGGGGATTTTGTTTTCGAAGCTTTTTCTCTGAACCCCCCAAAGCCCTCCCTAAGCGCTGAACCCTGAGCCGTAAGCCCGAAGCCCAAAGGCCAAAGCCCTGCAAAGCATCAGACCTTAGAGTGACTGAGACCTTTAGCAATCGCAGCGCAGCGCGATCGCGGGAGGACTGGAGCGTGGGCTGTGCCAGCAGCAATGCTCCGTGACCGGTGTTAGTAGCATGGGCTTCCCTACTACCACCCTCGATACTTCCCCCCTAGGTTTCCACCTCAAACAACCTTAACTAGAACCTTGACTAGGCACAAGTATCCCTAAATGGTCTTAATGACAGGGTGGTAGGGCAATGTATCGGAAGGGCCCCGAATCTCTGAAGCCAAGAAGCCTCCAAGATCTTAAGCTCCCAAACCCCAAGCCCTAAACCCTAAGCCCTAAACCCTAAACCCTAAACCCTTCCAGCTCAAGAGCTCTGTCAAAGCTAGGGAGTCGGGCCCTTGAGGCTATGAACCGGACGAGGTTTTCGGATCGATTTTCAGGGCTGCTTCGGGGTTGAGGCTTTAGGGTTTAGGGGGCTTGATGCTTGGGCTTCAGGTTTGGGGTTTAGGGTTGAGGGTTTTTGGGGTTTAGGCTTGAGGGCTTGTGGTTTTGGCTTTCTGGGCTTCGGATCTCGGATTGGAGGCGTTCATGCTTGCGACTTCGTTCAGGGTTTAGGGGTTTCGGGTTCAGGAAGCAGGCAGGAATTACGATGGGGCTTTGGAGGACCTCCGCGCGAACTCATGGGACCTGCGGCGTTCGACAACAACGAAATGGTCATCAGTTTTCAGCAAAGTCACTTTGGATGCCTCGATCCCACAGATGCGCCTACAACAATGGTCCACTTACTGCCACGTGAACCACATTGCTTTTGGAGACCAAAATTTGAAGCAATTAGCCGCAAAGGTGTTTGGAAAGCTCACCAAAGAAGGAGCATGGGACAAGGCTGTGAAAGAAGGCATCACCGACGAGACGCTGAAGAAGACCCTGCAGGTGCACAACGCCTTCCTCAGAAAGCTGATCCTTCACGATGTGTGGCTGTCTCATGGCAAAGGCCAAGAACCTCAGCGTTTATGGCAAGTGTTTGACTACTGTGCACTTGCAAAGGGTAAGGTAATGTTTCTGAAGCGACTTGGGCCTCCAAGCTCGCTAAACGCAGATTTGGGGTTTACCAATCATGCCAATCTTGTGCACCTGCGCAGGAGGATTCCTACGAAGTTGGCAAAGGGGCTCGTGGCGTTCTACGGTCCTGCTGCTCAGACAAAGGAGGCGCGTCTGATCAGGAATTGCTGCGGAGGCGGCACAAGCGGCTCAAGCCAAAGCTCACCGGCAAACCGCTGGGTAAGTTTCTGAAGCTAGCAGTTCCTCGTGGCTGGCTGCACCGCCACACGCAGCATGTATGTTGCGAGCTACGGCGGTGGAAGAACCGGAAAGCTTGAGGGCACGGGCGTCTTCGGAAGGCAGATGCGTCGCAGAAGCGGGCCAGGGTCCGGAACAGGAGGCTGAAACAGGTCTACTGCCTCTTGGGGTTTGAAACCGTTCCCCCTCAAGCAGCTGGAATGTGAAAGACATGTGCTGTGGGCAAGCTTGTCTCCGCGATGGCTGATGCGGATAAAATTTGGCGGGTCTCCCGAGAATGTTGCACCCGTTTGGGACACGTTAACCCTTGATTAATAACCCCCCCCAAAGGTATTTCGAACAAGGTTTTGGGGACCCCCTTTGAAATACGGACTGAGGCCCTGGCCCCAGCATTAATTCCCCTCCCCCAATTCGTCAGGCCCCTGTCCCGAGATCCCAGAAGCACCAGGGACCACCAAAACCCAAAAGCTTCAGACAGGGCCGGATTCCAGGCATCCTGCCTGGACCGAAAGCAAAGATTTCAATATCTGTCTCTTATTCAAAGCAAGGATTCCAGAAGTTTTGCAAGGGTAACGCTTTTGAGGCTCTGGCCCCAGCATTAATAAACGTCCCCCAATTAGTCAGGCCCCTGTACCGAGATCCCAGAAGCACCAGGGACCACCAAAACCCTCAAGCTTCAGACAGGGCCGGATGCCGCCTGAGACGGCGTGGGGTGGGATGAAAGTGTTAGATGGCCCTCCACCATCGGGCCATGGCTGCTCTTCGGGGTCCAGGTTCGAAATCCATCTAGAATCTAGGGCTTCAGAGTCTTGCTTCAGGGTGGGGAGCACCCCGAAACCCTAACCCCTAAATAAACCCCCGAAAACTCCCTAAACCCTAAACCCCTATAACCCTGATGTCCCTTGACTCCTGAGGTGACCCCAACCTGAACCCTAAGCCCTAAACCCTAAACCCTACACCCTAAACCCTCAACCCTAAACCCTAAACCCTAAACCCTAAACCCGAAACCCGAAACCCGAAACCCTATAAACCCTAAACCCTAAACCCAAAACCCTAAACCCTAAACCCTAAACCTCGAAAACACCCTGATGTCCCTTCGCTCCCAAGGTGATCTTTCAATCCCTCGACGACCCGGCGGCCCTTCTGACCCTGGCCATGTGTCTTGGCCTGCAGGGTTTAGGGTTTAGGGTTTAGGGTTTAGGGTTTGGGGTTTAGGGTTTAGGGTTTAGGGCTTGGGGTTCGGGGTTTAGGATTTAGGGTCTAGGGGTGGGCGGTCCAGAGCCCCCTGAATCCCCAAAAGCCCAGATTCCGAAAGAGGAGCCCTGAAAGGGTTTAGGCTTTAGGGTTTAGGGTTTAGGGTTTAGGGTTTAGGGCTTAGGGCTTAGGAGTTTTTGAGCCTAACGCCCGAATCTTCAGAACCTATGCCCTCGGGAGGAGCTGATTTTCTCCCCAGCCTTGGCCCACCCTGAAGAAACTGCATGCCCCGACCTAAAACCCCAAGCCCCCCAAACCTAAACCCCAGTGCTTCGACACCCTAAACCCTAAACCCTAAACCCTAAACCCTCAACCCTAAACCCTAAACCCTAAACCCTAAACCCTAAACCCTGAACCCTGAACCCTGAACCCTAAACCCTAAACCCTAAACCCTAAACCCTAAACCCTAAACCCTAAACCCTAAACCCTAAACCTTAAAACCCTAAACCCTAAAGCCTAAACCCTGGGCCTTAGAACAAGAGCGCGGCTCAGGACCGGTAATGATATCCCCTTGGGCGTCTCCCGGGCGGCTTGGAACTTCGCTGGCAAGGTGCTCGTGTGCGCTTCGAGTGATATTGTTGTGGGGTGGGGCGGGGTGGGGGGGGTTTAGGGTTTAGGGTTTAGGGTT